TTTATAGATGCGATTTCACCGGGCTACAACATGGACTATCAAGAATAGAGCCCGAGAAAAATATGCAACAATCGTTGAATTGAAGAAACTTCGATGTGAATCCAACTCAATCAATAATTCTTCCAAACCTTCTTGTCAGAAAAAAATACCAAAATTGCTAACAAACAACAATATATGGTGTTCAAGTAGATTATTTTCTCTCTCTAGATTTGGGGAATAAATGATATGGATTAAACCATAGTGAAATAGGAAAAAGATTCACATATTATAAAACATCAGTGAAGATAACTCTCTATTATCTCAGGATAATAAACAGCAATGAAAATTAGATATATGAGCAGGAGACAACACAGTGTCTCAGAAAGGGGAAAAAATTGAAAGACTGATTTTCTAATCATATAGTAGGGTTTACAAGCACTGCTTTGTAGTACTTCACAACAACCAAAAAATAGAAAGGGACAGAAGTGCATACCCGTTACATAACCATTAAAATGTGCAACCCATGATCCAAGAAGTAATTTTGGCAAGAAAACAAACATACCCTTTGAAGAAGAGATGGCGGGATGCAACCATTTTTGTTGAAGAAAGAAAACAAGCAATTTTGGCAAGTGACAGCATGTCCGTTTTAGAAGACCATTTGTGGCAAGAAATGGCTATATCCGTTGAAAGAAAAAAACGTTACAATTAAAAACAGAAATTTCTCATGATCAATGGCAATGAATGTTTGCAGAGAAAAGAAACAGTTATCCGTTGAAAGAAAAGAAAAAATAAAAAATGTCATTGGAGAGCCAAAAAAAAAAAAAAGGACGGAAATATATGAAACTTACCTTTCTCGCTCCTCATCCTGCTCACAATTCTTTGGATCTTCGGATTCAGATATGTTACAAATTATAGAGGTGCTACTTTGTAGGTGATCAGAGAAAAAAAAGGGGCAGGAGGCTTTGTCTCAAGTTTTGATAGATATTTGGGGTCGGATCTTTGCCCCAAAAAAAAAAAACTCTTCCTCGTCACTAAAACTTTTAGAGAGTGAAAAAAGAAAGAAGGTATTCTTTCACGAGAGTTATAGGATGGGAAACTTATCCTTTTAAGTATGAAGGGCCGGGTGAAAAACAAATGGACGAAAATGCCTTTGAAAAGGATTTGATATGAGCTATAATAATTTGTTATGAGCAGTACGAGGAAATAACTTCATAAGTGATAAACTTGCGTCAAACTCTCGCACTTCACCCTCTCAAAGCCCTAAAAACCCTCACCCCTCTCACAGCCCTGCGACAAACCCTTGCCCCTCACTTGCAACCCTCTGCGTCTTGCCTCTCCCTCGAGGACCTTGTTGATGTGCTCTTGCATCTTCAAACCAATAAGGACATGGAGGTGCCACTCTCCACAGCCAACATAAAGGCCGTCATCCTGGTAACTCCACCGCCCTCTCTCTCTCTCTGCCAAACTCAAACTCATATATGGGATTCTTGTCCTTCTTCTTAGCTTTATTCTGTGAGGGGTTTAAATTAGCGCTGTTTATCAAAGTTACCCATATTAAAACCAGTCTAGGAAAAATCTGGTGGGTGGGTCGGATCAGACCCGCCTGAATATGCCTGAGTATGGGGGCGTTGGAGCCCCCCAAGGAGGCGTCCTACTCGGCCGGTTTAGTGAGTGTTCGTTAACCGGCCGAATTCCAGCTACTCGGCGAGTCAGCTTGCTCAAACTCTCAATCTCATCACTCTCTCAAATCTGAAGTGAGTTTCTCTCTCTCCCTCAAGCTCTGTCACCCTTCTCTTGTCTCTCTCTCAAGTTCTGTCAGGGCAGATAGGGCCCTACCCTTCTCTTTCTCTCTCTGGGTAGGGCCCCTTCCCTTCCTCTCTCTCCCTCTCTTCAGGGCAGGGGCTCTACGATAAGGCCCCTACCCTTCTTTCTTCATCTCTTTGTGGGCAGGGCCCCTTCCCTTCCCCTCTCTCTCTCTCTGCCCTTTTCTCTCTCTCTCTCACTCTTTATGGCAAGGCATTGCGCTGAACCCCCCTAAGCGTTTTCTCTCTCTCTGGGCTGGGCTATGCGATAAGGCCCCGCCTTTCTCTCTCTGCCCTTCTCTCTTCTTGACCTGCCCAATTTGGACTGGGATACTCGGACTGGGTCCGGCCAATGGCAAGGTTCGGTCCCTGAGTCGTGGTTTCCCATATTCACTAAAATAGGGTAATGGTACTTCGAAATGATCATGACCTTGAGATCAAATCTAATTTTTACGAAACTAATGGTTTAATAAGTTTCATTTAACTCTTGTTTCAGTCAGATTTCTTTGTGGTGGGAAATATTTTTTGAATTTTAGTTTTTTCAAATTAGGGTGTGCTTTGCATAAGGTTAGAACTTGAACAATCAAATTAAGGTATACCTCTAAAGTTTGTCATGAGATAGTTTTGGTATCTAAAATTCTTATAATGATGCATAAATCAATTTTTATATATTAAATTTTAAAATCCAAAAATAATTCAAATCAAACAAATCTATAAATATATGAAAATATCGGAAAATGGACTTTCCAAAATAATACGTTGCGAGATGTACTAGTTCTAGGTCTTGGAGTCTCTTTTTTCTCCATACTTATATATCTCAATGTTAAGATGATAAATTACATGTTTTTCCAACTTCAAAACAACTTTTTTTAAAAACTTTTAGAGGTGCACCTTAATTTTAGATTTTACGGTATCAACCTTGTATAATTTTTTCTTTTAAATTATCGAATATTTTGTTTTTCTAATTTTATTTCTTTTCAATTTCTCTCTAGCAATTGACATCTACTTTATATCGGCGTTTCGAGAATCAAAAAATTATTATTTTAAATTGGACTCTCAATAGAGTTTAGCCGGAGACTTTTGCGTGAGTCTATGTTTTAACGAAAGTTAGCATGTTGGGAAAAATCAATAGATCAGCTCACAAAATTAAATCCGATCTTGGTTCAAAAAGTCGGATGTAAAAATTGGGGGTAAAAATATAGATTGTAAAAAATATTGTATATAAAAATACCATAAATATATAAGATTAGGCTAAATAAACGTAGTGAAAATATCAGTTATTCTAAAAGTTTTAAAAAGGAAAATATCTTTATATCCTCTATTTTTAGATTTTATTTCTTAATAAAATCACAGTTTCAAAACATAGCTTCCAACCCGTGGCCACTTTAAGTATATTTTTTAACCTAAACAAATGTTAAGTATAGTTTTTAACCCGAAACAAATGTGAGAAGACTTGTTATTTCTAAACCCAATCCCTTCTCTCTCTTCATTTATATACCCCAAACTTCCCTTTTTCTCTGCTGCGTGTTTCCTTTTTCTCCTCCCGTATTTATCCAAACACCTCTCTCACTCTCGGTATTTATCCAAACACTTAAACACCTATCTCATTATCTCACTCTCTGTGTTTATCCAAACACCTCTCTTTCCTTCGGATAACCTCTCACCACCAAGCATTGATAAACACCTCTCTCACTCTCTGTGTTTATCCAAACACTTAAACACCTCTCCCACTTTTTGTATTTATCTAAACACCTCTTTCTCCTCCTGATAATGTCTCACCACCAAGCATCTCTCTCTTCTTGTGTTTATTCAAACACCTCTCTCTCCTCCGGATAATCTCTCTCCACCAAATATCTCTCTTTTGTATTTATCCAAACACCTCTCTCTCTTCCGGATAACCTCTCATCACCAAGCATCTCTCCTCCTGTGTTTATCCAAACACCCTTCTCTCTTCCTGGTAACCTCTCATCACTAAGCACCTCTCTCTTTTTCTCTGTTTATCCAAACCCCTCTATTGTATTTGGGAGGAGAAAGAGTGAGAGGAGAGAGACGGGAGACGTGAAGAGTGGAAGGGGAGAGAGTGAAAGGTTAGAGATGGGAAAGATAAAGAGAGAAGGGGTACGGGGAGAGAGTAAGGGAGAAAACTTTGGGAGGATAGTTTTTAGAAAAGACATGTTTTTTTTATATTTGTTTGATCTAAAAAACAGGTTTAAAAAATAAAATCTCAAAATATCTTTTAAAACCTTGAGTCTATTGTGAAATGAAACCTAAAATTAGAGGGTATCCAAATATTTTCCCATTTTAAAATTTTAAATTGTAAAAAAGCAAAAACATTTAGATGGATAAACCCATTGGCGATCTAAAAATTAAACTTAAAAAAGAGGAAAGCTTTCTATGTGATCCAACCACGTGACCCCATTTATCAGTTGTTCAATTTGAATGGATAGTTAGGATTTTTCATGTCATAATGTCATGCAAAAATATTAGTCGATTTTTAAATTTTAGCTTTAAAGTCATTTTTGAGTGAAATTGGGACATGACATCTTCATATTATGAAGAACCTAGAAAAAAAACAAAAAAATTTCTCATGCAAAAAGAGATCAAAATTGCCCCAAACATTCAAGTGGTATTGGGGTAAATTTCTATTAAGGGAAATATTTTTTTGTTTTTTTTATTGATCATGTGTGCGTGCAAGCCCTGACTTCATTGCAAAATGATTAATAAAATAACAATTAAAAATAAAATACTCTGAACCATCAGATAAAGGTCTAATGCATGAGAACTATCCTGTAACGTTATAACTCAAATCATCCTAACCATCTACTCATCAGATTTGACGGTTGAGAGCAAGGGTCACGATACTTTATTTGCAAGTCCATGTTAAGCTTTCCTTAAAAAGGAACAGTATTCACCTTTTCAAATAAATACTTTTAAATATTTTTTTCAAAGTAAAAGTTTGAAATTTTAAATTTTTTTTAAAAAAAGGGTGGACATTACATCTCATCTAAATATCTCCACCAACCAAAAACTTGTAGGCCCCACCCACCATTCAAAAGTTTCTTATTAATATGTTAACTTTTCTACTTGGGGCTTTAGCAGTAGGATTGCCTAGCTCCGTAATGAGGTCTTTGACTCCATTCTCAACATAGAGTAAGGCCCAAATCCCTACCGACATACCACTTTAATTACCCAAAAAAACAAACTTCCCCGCTTTTCGTACCTTTTTTTCAAAAAACTCAAGAAAACACGTTTATATTTTTTTCCCTAATAAGCCACGTTTTTTTGCCAATGTTTTGAAATATAGCACAGTTTCAAACGTTTGAGAAAAAACTCCAATTTGTTTTTTGTAAAAAGGTATGTTTAAACACTGATTTAAAAGTACAATTTCTAAAAATAGTTAGCAAATCACCTATTTATATGTGATATTTTAAAAAAATCAGAGTTTTATTAACTAAAAGCTCCGATCTTTTCAAAAGAATCGGGAAAAAAGCGTGACTTATTTAAGGAAATTTTTTTAAACCCTCTGTATAGGTTTTCCAAAAAATGGTATAAAAAATAGAGAAGTTAACACATTAAAAATAAACTTTTGAAAAGTGGGTGGAGCCTACAAACTTTTGGGTGGTGGTGGTATTCAAATGGGGGGCACCACCACCCCTCTTTTTTAAAAAAATTAAATTAAATTTGAAACTTTTACTTTCAAAATAATTATTAAAAACTATTTAAATTGAAAGGTAAATATCCTTCCGTTTTAAGGAAAGCTTTACATAGACCCCACAAGCAGATAATGTATTTGTGACCTCTGCTCTCAACCGTCAGATCTGAGTAGATTGCTGGTATGATTTGAGTCACAATGTCATAGGTTAGCTCTCAAGCATCAGATCTTGATCTGAGAGTTCCAAATATCCTATTTTTATTCTTTATTCTATAAATCATTTTGCAGTGAAATTTAGGGTGTTCATACATGTTACATGGGTGCACATGCTAAAAATAATAACAAATATTTCATTGGATGGAAATTTTCTAGAATACCCCTTAAATTTTTGGAGGCATTTTTGTCATAGTTTTTCATGATAATTTTTTTCTTTTTTTCTAGGTGATCCCCAATGTGACGATGAGATGTCCCAAATTTCACACAAAAAGGTTTTGAAGAAAAAAATTAAAGTTTAAATAAAATTTTTGCATGATATTATGACATGAGCAATCTTAGCTATCCGTTCTTATCAAACACTAGAAAAATTGGGTCACATATGATTTATATGTTGGTGGGGTCATGGAAAACTTCCTCTTTTTTTAACATTAAATTTTTTATCCTTAAATATTGAGTTTATCTATGTATTTTTTTTTTTTTTTTTTTTCAATTTTAAAATATGTGTTTTTTCCACTCCGATTTTTTGAGCCAATATATTGAGTTTTTCTTGATCTGCTAACTATGGTCAACGTTAACCGTCTCTTACATATATAAAAAGTTTTCATGTTCCCAAGGGAGCACACTATCTTTACTCCTTGCAAAACCTAATGTAGAAACGTTTTTAAGACTCAAATTTTTGGGGATGTGACCTCTTCAAACCACGTTTCATGTTCAAAAAAAAAAAAAAAGGTTTGAAAAAAATCCAGTTTCATTCTCTATGGACTTGAAAAAATTAACGCCTCGTGAATAGAAGTCTATTTTTTTAATGGTGTTGGAAAGCTCAAAATACAAATTTTTTCTTTTGAATATAATCATGTAATTATTTTTAGGTTGTTTCCAAAATTTTGGATTAAACAGATTTTCTTTATTTCGGCTTCTATTCAAGGGAGTAACTGTACAGTATGCTCCAGAAGGAGCATATTATACTCGCTAATAGTCTTTAAGATGGTTCTCATGGAATTATCACCCTTTTATAATTTAAGATAAAATTGTTTGTCTACATGTCGTAGTAATAAAATAAATCTTCAAACATTACTAGGTTATACTTCATTGGGAGTGAAGCAGCTATTCCCAACTTATTATAGAAAATCTAATGGCACTTGCTTTGCAGGTACTCCAATTGAATGAAAGTAAAATTTTAGAATTACTTAACTTTTGGTAATTTCTAGAATTATTAAATATTTTACTTGTAACTTTATTTAATTTTGTAAGCTAATATTTACTTTTATGTATTACTTTAATTTTATATGTAATTTTCATTTGATTAGTGATGTTTTAAGTTTATTACTTATACTGATTATTGTCCTTTCTTCTTTTCCGTAATTACCTTGTTTATTGAGATAGCATCTGGTGATTCTAATAAAAATTTCTTATTTTGTCCTAGTTTAGCTTGAATAAAGTGAATTCCTATTTCATATTTTTATTTATGACAGGAATTAGGGGTTTTAGAAATTTGGAGGAAAAATAAGAATGGGGAGCTAAAACTCCTATCCCCTACGTTTTCTCCCTTATAAGAATTCGTATTGAATGTGGGACTTTGTCTTATTTTTGCTAGCCATGAAATTCCTATTTTGGCTGGTATTTGGATCTTATTTTTTGTTCATTATAAACTGATCTCAATTTTCACAACGTTATTGTTTTTACGGTTGTAATAATAGAAATGATCTTCATCATCGTCATCTAAATCTTATCTCAACTATTGAATGTTGGCTCTTAAATTAATAGCTAATAGCTTTTCATTTAATTTGCAATTGGGAAAAATAAAGCCATAAGGGCAAAGTTAGGTCAATGCCAATCTTAAAAACCTAAATTTCTCTTTATAAAAATCGATCTTCTCTTTCTTTATGTAGAGGACATGTTCTTGGCTAGTACAGAGACCTCATCAACGGTCCTAGAATAGGCACTTGCAGAGCTCATTAGAAACTCGAAATCCCTCCAAAAAGCTCAATTAGAGATCAGGAGCGCAGTAAATGGCAGGGATACAGTAAAAGAAGCTGACCTCTTAAACCCCAGCTACTTAAGGTGCATCATCACAGAAACTCTAAGGATGCACCTCCCTTTCCGTCTCCTACTCCCTCGTGAATCGACTGAGTCATGCGAAATCGGTGGCTACCATATTCGAAAGAAGACTCGAGTTATAGTGAATGGTTAGGCCATAGGGCGACACCCCGACTATTGGAAAGATCCCGAGAAGTTTGAACCTGAAAGGTTCATTGATAATTCTGTCGATTTTAGAGGCTAGCATTTTGAATTCTTGTCATTTGGAGCGGGTAGAAGAGGATGTCCCGGTATAATATTTGGGCTCTCAAACATGGAGTTAGCACTAGCCAAGTTACTTTACCACTTTGACTGGGAGGTCCCTAGTGGGAAGCCAGAGGATTTGGACATGACTGAGGCCTAAGGTGTGACTATAGGGAGAAAAGCTGATTTAATTCTAATTGCCCATCCCAAATTTTAGCAGAATAGAGTTTCCAGATGGTTTGGAAGAGGAGTGAAAAAGATGATTTTCAGAAGGATTGATGTTTTTAATTATATTATGCGTGGTTAGATTTGGATGTTTTTCATGGAAATTGTGTTGTGGCTCATAAGAACCCCAATCCCAATGTTTTTCATTGTAATATCATGGAATGAGTTTGAGCATTTCTTTTCTCCACCGTTTCTTCAGCGTAGATCGTTAAGATTTGTGCAGTGAATAAAAATGCTGGAATCTCTAGGTAACTGAAGCGAAATATATATTATAGGAAAGTTTAACAGTCACGCAAAGTGATTACAGTCCACCTAATTGTTAAATCGTTAAATCTGACAACTTGAAGGCGTCATATATGTCAAAAATTTTACTTTGGACTTTGGGCTATATCAATAGCATTATCTTGCGTAGTCCAATTTCACATCCAACAACTAAGGTGATCGTGATATCCTTGCACTAAAGGCACATAGTTTTATTTTATATTTTTTTATTGTGACATCCTTGCACCAAGGGTATAGAGGTTTATTGCATCCATATCAGCATTATTGTGGCATTTTTTAAATAGAAATTTTTTAGGGGGCCCAACATGTCTATTTCTCTGGGTAGCACGTCTATTTCTCTGGGTAGCGATGCCTTCACCAACTCGTATTTATATCTTAATTGAATAGTTAATAAGCCATATTTGCTAATCTTGGTATAAAATTGGGTATTCATGCTTATCATCCATTGTCCCTACTTTAAAGGCAAACTTGGAAGCAGATAACAACATATCTTCGTTGTCTATTGTTATTTATCGATACTAAAGGTTCGTTCCGTTCGTATGAAAACTTGTATCATGAAACAGGTTACATAAGAAACATACTGCTGAACATGTTTGGTTCATGTGTAAAGTCTATGGAAAAGGGAAACATACTGCTTTGGTTCATGTGTAAAGTCTACGGAAACCTTTTCCATAGGAAATGGTTTTACTCTGGTGAAATATAATCCCCACCCCAAGGAGGCATCCTATTCAGGTGGTTTAATGAGTGTTCGTTAACCCGGCCGAATTCTAGCTACTCGGCCGATCAGCTTGCTCAAACTCTCAATCTCATCACTCTCTCAAATCTGAAGTGAGTCTCTCCCTCCCTCTCCCCTTTCTCTCTCCCTGCCCTTGTCTCTCTCTCTCTCGGCAGACAGGCCCCTATCCTTCTCTCTCTCTTTTCGGGGCAGGGCCCCTTCCCTTCCTCTCTCCAGGGCAGGGGCTCTGCGATAAGGCCCCTACCTTTCTTTCTCCATCTCTCTGTGGGCAGGGGCCCTTCCCTTCCTCTCTCTCTCTCTCTGCCTTTCTCTCTCTCTCACTCTATGGCAAGGCATTGGGCTGCACCCCCCAGGGCTCTCTCTCTTTGGGCTGGGCCCTGCGATAAGGCCCCAACTTTCTCTCTTGACCTGCGCAGTATGGGCTGGATTACTCGGACTCGGCCTGGCCAATGGCAAGGTTCGGTCCCTGAGTCGTGGTTTCCCACATTGGCTATAATAGGGTAATGGTACTTAAATGATCGTGGCCTTGAGATGAAATCTAATTTTTACGAAACTAATGTTTTACTAAGTTTCCTTTAACTCTTATTTCAGAGGGAATTTTTTATGGTGGGAAATGTTTTTTAAATTTTAGTTCTTAAGGTGTGCTTTGCATAAGGTTAGAACTTAAACAATCAAATTAAGGTACACCCTAAAGTTTGTCATACCGTATTGGTGTCTAAAATTCTTATGATGATGCATAAATCCATTTTTATATATAAGTTTTTAAAATTAAACAACAATTCAAATCAAGCAAATCTATAAATGCATGAAAATCTTGAAAATGGACTGTCCAAATAATGCGTTGCAAGATGTACTAGTTCTAGGTCTTGAAGTCTCTTTTTTCTTCGTACCTATATATCTCAATGTTGATAAATTATATGTTTTTCGAACTTCAAAATAACTTTTTTTCAAAGATTTTAGAGGTGCACCTTAATTTTACATTTTACGGTATCAACCTTGTATAATTTTTTCTTTTAAATTATCTAACATTTTGTTCTTTTAATTTTATTTACTTTTCAATTTCTCTCCAGCATTTGACATCTACTTTATACTGGTGTTTCGAGAATCAAAAGGCATTCCTACTTCTGTAGGAATTCTTATTTTAAATTGGACTCTCAATAGAGTTTAGCGAGAGATTTTTGCGTGAGTCAATGTTTTTAACAAAAGCTAGCATGTTGGGAAAGATCATATCAGCTCACAAAATTAAATCGATTTTGGTCAAAAAAATCGGATGTAAAAATATAGATCGAATAAAATATTGTATATAAAAATAGCATAAATATATCAGATCAGACTAAAAGAATGGAGTGAAAACATCAGTTATTCTAAAAAATTTAAAATTTAAAATTTAAAATTGTAAAAAAGCAAACACATTTACATGGATAAACCTATTGGGGATCTAAAAATTAATGTTAAAAAAGAGGAAAGCTTTCAATGTGACCCACCCACACCCCATTTATCAGTTGTTTGATTTGAATGGATAGCTAGGATTTTTCATGTCATAATGTCATGTAAAAATATTATTCGATTTTTTATTTTTAGTCTACAAAACCTTTTTGAGTGGAATTGGGGCATGCCATCTTCATATTATGAAGATTCTAGAAGAAAAAAAAAAAAACATTCTTGTGCAAAAAGGGACCAAAATTGCCCCAAACTTTCAAGGGTTATTGGGGTAAATTTCGTTCAAGAGAAATATTTTTTTGGTTTTTTTATGATCATGTGTGCCCCTATATGTAAGCCTTGATTTCATTGCAAAATGATAAATAAAATAACAATTAAAAATAAAACACTATGAGCCATCAGATCAAGGTATGATGCTTGAGAGCTAACCTGTAACATTGTGATTCAAACCCTCCTAACCATCTACTTAGATCTAACGGCTGTGAGCAAGGGTCACCATGCTTTATTTGCAAGTCCATGTTAAGCTTTCTTTAAGAAGGCACAGTATTCACCTTTCTAAATAAATAATTTTAAATATTTTTTTCAAAGTAAAAGTTTAAAATTTTAAATTTTTTTAAAGAAAGGGTGACCGTGCATCCTATCTGAATATATTTACGAATCAAAAGTTTGTAGGCCCTACCTACCTTTCAAAAAAAAAAAATTTAATATGTTAACTTTTCTACTTGGGGTTTTAACGGCAGTATTGCCTAGTCCCATAATGAGGTCTTTGATTCCATTCTTGCCAAAACGTAATGGCCCAAATCCCCACCCATATACCACTTTAGTTACCCATAAAAACCAAAATTTCTCCACTTTTTTCGCCTTTTTTTTAAAAAAATCAAGAAAACACGTTCATATCGTTTTGCATAATTAGCCACGTTTTTTTTCCAATGTTTTGAAAAATAGCACAGTTTCAAACGTTTGAGAAAAAACTCTAATTTATTTTTTGTAAAAAGGTATGTTTAAGGATTTAAAATTACAATTTCTGAAAATAGTTAGCAAATCACTTATACGTGATATTTAAAAAATTCAGAGTTTTATTATCCAATTTTTAAAGCTGCGATCTTTTCAAAAGAATCAGGAAAAAAATGACTTATTAATGAAAAAATTATAAACGTGTTGTATTGGTTTTTCCCAAAAACGGTACCAAAAATAGAAAAGTTAACACATTTTAAAGAAATTTTTGAAAAGTGGCTAGGGCCTACAAACTTTTGGTTGGTGGTGGTATTCAGATGGGGTGCACCGTCATCCCTTTTTAAAAAAAAATTAAATTAAATTTGAAACTTTTACTTTCAAAACAATTATTAAAAACTATTTCTTTTAAAAGGTGAATACCGTTATGTTTTGAGAAAATCTTTACATGGACCCCACAAGCAGATAATGTTTATGTGACCCCTTCTCTTAGCCATCAGATCTGAGTAGATTGCTGGCATGGTTTGAGTCACAATATCATAGGTTAGCTCTTAAGCATCAGATCTTGATCCAACGTATCTTATTTTTATTCTTTATTCTATAAATCATTTTGCAGTGATATTTAGGGTATCCATACATGTTACATGGTGCACATGATGAAAATAATAACAAATATTTCTATGGATGAAAATTTACTAGAATACCCCTTAAATTTTTGGAGGGATTTTTGTAATTGTTTTTTCACGATAACTTTTTTTTTTTCTTGGTGATCCCCAATATGAAGATGGGATGTCCCAAATTTTACACAAAAAGGTTTTGTAGAAAAAAATAAAAAATCGAATGAAGTTTTTACGTGATATTGTAACATGAACAATCCTAGCTATCCATTCCTATCAAACATAAGATAAATTGGGTCACACAATTTATATGTTGGTGGGGTCACATAGAAAACTTTTTTTTTTTAATATTTAATTTTTTGATCCCCAAATATTGAGTTTATCTATGATTCTTTTATATTTTTTTTATAATTTTAAAATTTTAAAATATCTTATTTTTCCACTCCGATTTTTTGAGCCAATACATTGCGTTTTTCTTGACTTGCTAACTATGGTCAACGTTACCCGTCTCGTACATATATCAAAAGCTTTCATGTTCCCAAGGGAGCATCCTATCTTTACTCCTTCTGGTAAAACCTAATCTAAAAAGTTTTTTAGGACTCAAATTTTGGGGATGTGACCTCTTCAAACCATGTATCATGCCCAAAAAAAAAAAAAAAAAAAGGTGAGAAGAAAACCCAGTTGCATTCTCCATGGACTTAAAAAAATTAACTCCTTGAGATTGAATAGAAATCATCTAATTTTTGAATGGCGAGATCTAATTGTCGGAAAGCTGAAAATACAAATTTTTTCTTTTGAATATAATCAAGTAATTATTTTTAGGTTTTTTCCAAAATTTTGGATTAAAAAGATCTTCTTTATTACGGCTTATATCCGAGGGAGTAACCGTACAGTATGCTCTAGAAGGAGCATATTATACTCGCTAATAGTATATAAGATGGGTTCGCATGGAATTATCACCCCTTTATAATTTAACATAAAACTGTTTGTCTTCATGTCGTAGTAATAAAATAAATCTTCAAAAGTTACTGAGGTTATACATCATTGGGAGTGAAGCAGCTATTTCCAACTTATTATGCGAAATCTAATGGCACTTGCTTTGCAGGTACTCCAATTGAATGAAACTAAACTGTTAGAATTAGTTAACTTTTGGTAGTTTCT